TGCCTATCAGAGTTTGAAGCTTCTGATTTTTGACCACCATTAGTTATATTCCTGGCTTCTGACCAAGTCTGCTTCTAATTCTTCTTACCAGAAGTTACTTTCAGAGCCTGCTGCTGTACTTCCCTCTCAGAAGTTCTTGCAGTCATACGCAACTCATGCGCCTCTAGACTACTCTGCAACTCTTCAACTCTCATGGTGCTCAGATCTTTTGAATGTTTAATTGCTATCACAATGTAATCAAACTGAGAAGTTAAAGATCTCAAGATCTTCTTAATGATTACTTGTTCAGAAAGGGTTTCTCCACAAGCTTTCATCTCATTAGTGATCAGAATCACTCTAGAGATGTAATCAGAAACCTTCTCGTTGTCCTTCATGTTGAGATTCTCATATTGCTTTCTGAGAGACTGAAGTTTCACCTTCTTCACTGATGTGTCACCAGCGTAACATCTGACCAGTGTGTCCCATGCAGCCTTTTATATTTCAGAATCATCAATCTTCTCAAACACATTAGCATCTACACATTGATGGATGTAGAACAACACTTTCTGATCTTTCTTTCTTATCGCCTGTAATACGGTGGGAGAACTGACTTGGGTGTTTTGCATTTGATCACAATTATTGCAGATAGAAAAAGTCGCCACCGAATTTTCTTTTATCCAATAAAGGAAAGGGTGAAAAAAGCAGGAAAGACCTTTGAGATTATTTTCTTGAGTTCGGGGGGCATATTATGAAAAAAGAAGGTATTAGCATCATTTTCATCCATAGTTATATATGGGCTCTTAGTTGCTTGCTAGATCATTTGCTTTGTTTGAAAATGTGCTTTGTGGTGAGTTTTTTAAAGTATTTTAAAAACGCCTTTGTTTCGGCAAACTTTATAATGATTTTGGTCTCTATAAGAATGCATACCAAGTGTTTGTTTTGAAAATATTTTGTTTGAAAGTGTTGGTGTATTTGAAAATATGTTTGGTTTTGAAGATGGATCATGAGCAAGCAACTAAGAACATTTCTACCTACTCAAAAGTTATTTGTTCATTTCCTCCTTTTCTTTGATGTTGTTATCTTACCATTGATTGGTAAGAAGCCCCATCGTTGGATGTAAAGGGACGGGCGTGGATCATCGTATAGTCATTGAAGGCAACCTTGTAGGATACTTTAGCAATTTGTCGTGAGGGACTAAGATCGTTCTGTAGGCAACATTGAAGGGTCATCGAGGGACTACGGTCTTGTATTCGAGGGATCATTGCTAAAGTATCACATGTTCGAGGGACATGACTATTTTATTCTAAGGCAACAAGTGTGAGTTACCCTATAGGTGCAAGTGTGCAAGTGTTTATATTTTCATGCATTTTTGTCTTGGATTAGAGTGATTTAAGATTGATTTTTTTATCTTGCCATGCACATCCTAATTACTAGCATTTATATGAAAGCAATAAAAATGCGGAAAATAAATCCTAAGTTATTACATCATTAGGGGATGGGGTGTACAAACTTACAAATGGAGATTGCAAGAAATTAAATCCTAATTATCTATTACAACCATATTGAATTCGAATAAATGTACAAGGCAAAATGGACAAAAGGAAAGGACTTGTTTTGTTTTGTTTTGAAACGATTTTTATCCTAGTAAACTAAAAAGAAATAATTAGTTAACAAAAGAAAATTAAACTAATTTAATTTTAAAAGGGAAATATTTTTATGTCTTTTTGTATTAATTAAAAAAGGATATTAATGATAACAATAATAAAAAATAAGGAAAAATACAATAAAGAAAATGAGTCAAGAGGGGAGAACAGTTGAATTTGGGGTGTTTTTGTGTAGAAAACAATTTTTGTGTTCAAAAATAGTTTTTGTATTTGGGCCTGAGGGGTGTGTTTGTTAGTTAGTAAACAGGGAGGTCAGAGTATGAAAATCGAATCCCAAACTGAAGGAGATCCAAACATGTTTCCTGCAAATGAAACAAAGTGAGAAAATAGGGTCTGGCTGGGGGTTTCGAACCCAGGACCCTTCGATATGATAAGCCTTAGCGCGTGTTGTTTGTACCACTGGGGCAGTCTATTTCATCCATTCACGGAATCACTTCGATGGAATATAGAATGAATTCGTTCCTGGATGTCGAAATGCCCATCTTCGAAGGCCGTGATGCTTCGATTGTCAGACTCCTAACCACTCCCTTTCTCAATCGAAACAAACAGTGAAGACATCAAAACAGAAATAACACTTAAACACAAAACATAAACATTAAATTTGTCTAAAAACTTGGAAATGTAACAAAGCGTACATATTTCAAAAGCTAGGGTTCGAAGGTCAGCATAGATTTTGTTCAGTATCAAAAACGAAAACTAACTGTACAAGCAATGATAATCGAAAACTATGAGCATCATGATATCTACATTTCCGAAGGATACTTGAATGAAGAGTTCTAAGTTTGAAGAAAACTTACCTCTTGGAGTGAAACTTTGAAGGGAATTTGATGCAACTTCCAGGAATGGTTAGATGATGAGTGAATTAAACCTGCTCCGTTTGGAAGATAATTGAAACCTCCAACTCAAGTCAAGTTGTAAGTTTCAGTTTCTTTGGAAAAAAATGAAAGGGCAAGTAAGTTTGAAGAGTGTTTGATGATTTTGTGTTTAAGAGTGCTTGATTATTTTGTGTTTAAGAGTGTTTGATGATTTTGTGTTTGAGAGTGGAGTTAGAATTTAAGTTTCCTGTTTCAGACTCTATATTTTTTTTGCAAAACTCTTTTTTTTTATATGCAATGGACTTGCATATTTATATGAAAATGTTGAGATGTTTTACACAAAGGATCTTTCTGCTGTACTGTTTTGGCTAGGTGACTTGATAAGTGAAAAACAAGTACAAGCATGGTCCCGTTGCTTATGATTTTGACTTTGCTTGTGCTCAGACAAAATAAATTTTGGAATCTCAAGGGGCTGACTTTGTGATTAAAGTAATCTTTATGAAAATAGATAACATAGCTTTTTGTCATTTCGTCCAAAAATATTAATATCCTAATGGATAAAGCTTCGATTCTGTGTGTAAACCTCTGATTATGTAAAGATTTAGAAGCAACATAGCCTGAAAAGTGAAATTTGGAAGATAAAGCTATGAGATTTGTTCTTGAATCAGATGCTAGAATGAAATCGAAGCAAGCTTACTTCGAGGGAAACTTTTGCCTTAGTCGAAGCATGCTCGAAGGAAGTTGCTCGAAGGAAGTTGTTTCCCATTCGAAGTATATAGATCGAAGAGTATTTGAAGAGAGTCTTGCCCATTCGAAGCATGTAGATCAAAGGAAGCCAATGTCTAATCGAATTGAGAATCGAAGCAGATTGCTTTGAAGGTAGCTAGTGCCCAATCGAAGTTGAGAATCAAAGCAGGTTGCTTCGAAGGGAGCCGGTGTCTTATCGAAACTGAGAATTGAAGCAAGTTGCTTCGAATGTAGCTAGTGCCCAATCGAAGCTGGAGAATCGAAGCAGACTTGCTCTTCTTCGACCCAACCGAAGGGCACATTAACATCTTCATTTTTCCTTTTCCTTCGACCAATCGAAGTAACAACTTGCCATCTACAAAAAAAATCATTTTTCTTTATTTCTTTAAACAAGTGTATGTAACCACCTATATGAGAGGGCAAGTTTTGGGGTACAACAGCGTCCTATATGATATCTTCTGGGCCTCTGTTGCGTCCACTACTAACAGATCATAGTCATCAGTTACAAGATCTAACACATCTTGAGAACTAAATAACACGCGCATCTGGATCTTCCAACGATTCTAGTTTTTGCCATCAAATACTGGAAGCTTGGAATGAATATCGATGTTGCCGTTCATCTTCTTCCTTAAGCAGTTTACGCAAAAATTCTAACACAGAGTTTCCCAAATCCCAGAATCAGAACTTTGTGATTCTCAATCACAAAACTTCTTTTCCCCGTGGATTTCGAACCTGAGCTCTGATACGAATTGTTGGAGCACAAGAGAAGATAAAAGACAAAAGAGAGAAATACATTCAATGATTTACAATTGATTACAATGAGCAACTACACTAGACTATTTATACACAAAAAACAAATCTAAAATACATCTTTTAACAAAGATATAAGAAGATCTAAAAGATATTTCTAAAATATAAATTAATTTTTTATTAAATCTAACAGAAAAAATCTCTAATGGCAAGATCAAGTGCAAAAATCGAGTGTAGGGGTCTTGCACACACCACCTATGAGTTGCTTGGTTAGAATCATTGCTGCTTGAATTAAGCATTCTTTTTCTCCCATTACTCTTCTACGTGACAACTTGAGTGTTGGACATTTATCTCATAATCATGTACTTCATGCCTACAAGATATATATAGAGATGGATATTTGTTTTTGTTAGAGAAGTTGTAGCCTCCAAGAAGACGGTCAGTTAACATGTTCCTGCCACACTACAAATTGTTGACACATTGACTAAATCTATTGTTACCTCTGCTTTTCAAGATCTCAAGACCAAAAGCTCAAAGTGGTTGTTCAACCACCCTGATCTTGTGGGAGAGTATTGCAAATATTTAAAATAGCCTTTATTTTCTGTTATATTGTTTTCTCTCTGTGTCTTTTGACCTAAGATTGTTAGTTATGGATAAGTTGAAGATGGTTGAAGTTGTTGAAAAGTTTTTATAACTCAATCAACTAATAACACACTCCCCTATATTAAAGAGTTAAAATGAGTTGTCTCTTTTCAAACTTTGAATAATGAATAAGAAATTCTCATTATTGTGCCTTAAAATATGTGTTTAGTTTTTAAGTTTGTTGTTTTTTTAGCCTTTGGCCTTGTATTATACCATAAACAAAGAAACAACTTAAGTTTATTAAGTTAAATTCGAATAATTAATTCTTGTTCAAAGACAAGAATCTAAAAAAAGCTTTCTATATTAGTATAATTAAAAGTCTTCCACAATCGTGTTTGCTTGTATAGATAGAAAGTAAAAGTAGATATATTTATTTGACGGGAGAAAGTAAAAGTAGACAGTACTAGTTGGTAGTAGTATTTTGTAGAAATGGATAATCAGTATATCCAATGACAGGGTGATGTGAATAAAATGTGGTTGGATCAGGGTGGTTGTAGTCATCGACATTCAATTCAAATCTTTTAGGGAGATCTGGATTTGCCAGAAAGAGTCTTCCATAAGCCACCAAATCAGCAGCACCGGATGCTATGGCGCTGTTCCCTTCACTGCGATCATAACCTCCAGCAACAATAAATGTCCCTTTGAAAGCCTTCCTAATAGGCATCAATGACCATTTGGTGGTGTTGGATTTGTTAAATTGTGTCACCATCCTTGGCTCAATCATATGACAGTACAGAATGCCCAATTGATTCAATGATTCAGCCATGTAAATGCCTAATCCTTGAGGGTCACTGTCTTCGCAATCATTATAATCCGCGAAAGGGGACAACCTCACACCAACCTTGTCAGCTCCAATCTCATCTGCAACTGCCTTCACAACTTCAAGTGGGAAGCGACAACGATTCTCTAAGCTACCTCCATACTGGTCATCCCTATCGTTCACTTTGTCCTTTAGGAATTGATCCAACAAGTATCCATTAGCTCCGTGTATCTCAACTCCATCAAAACCTGCTTCCATTGCATTCATTGCAGCAATTTTAAAATCATTCACAATCATTGGAATTTCATCGGTGCTCAGCCTGCGAGGAGGTGGGTATTCATGAGCTGCAGCAGCATTGTTGGCAATATCTTTTCGAAGGCGCTTGTCTGTGCATGATATTGGGGGTTTACCTTGTGCCTGAAACTCTGCATCGAATTATATATCATTTCATAATGTCAACCCTTGTGATCATAGATTTTGATAGCTAAGCTTACCATGTTTGGATACTCTTCCGGCATGCCAAAGTTGACAGAAAAAGATGCCTCCTTTTTCATGAACTCCTTTCACAATTGGCTTCCATGCGTCCACTTGTTCCCTTGTCCATATTCCAGGGGTATTTGGGTACCTTCAATTTGGTGATCCGTGTTAAAAGAACAATAAGCATGTTGGTTTAGAGTGAGTGATTACCCTTGTGCGGTGGGAGAGACACCAGAAGCTTCTCCAATCAAGAAGGCAGCCTTAGTAGTTCTTTGAGAATAATACAGAACAGCATGAGGCTGAGGAACAAAGTTGTAAGACCTTGATCGCGTTAACGGTGCCAACACTATCCTAAATTAATTGTCATCAATAATCATAACACTAAACTTTACCCTAAATTAATTGTCATGAATAATCATAACATTAAAATTTATCCTAAATTAATTGTGATGAATAATCTTAAGATTAAACTTTATCCTAAATTAATTGTGATGAATAATCATAAGATTATTCAATAGAATGAATTAAAGTACGTACCTATGAGATAGATTAAAGTTTCCCATCTTGTATGGGGTCAGCAGAGGTACTGTTGTCTCTCCTTTCCTCATCCTTCAATTTTTCAACACTTCACAGCCACGCATGAAATTATCCCTCTACTTATAAAGACCGCAGTTTTGGATTTTCTGCAATGTCATTATCATCCCGTAAAGTCTCAGCCATACATTGAAATCAAGTTTAACACACAAAATATCCTCTCTAATTTCTATAACTACTTTAACACTTTATTTTCCTTTTATTGTTATACTATTAGAATACTTGCTATAATATTTGTGTGCAGAGAAACCAATAGGTACGCATAGGCATGGCTACTAGTTTTCTATTATCAGTCTTTTTTTTAATAAATATGATATTCGTATTTGTTTTATATGTGTGGGTATTTATGAATTTTGAGATATTTGTGGATATATAGAAATATTCATAAATATATTTACTTTTTTAAAAATATTATTTTTATTATTTTTAAAGACAGACAAATAATTTTAAATTTAATACATAATAATTATTATTATTATTATTATTATAAAATAAAAAAATTACATTCATTTTATTTCTTCTTTTTACAAAATAATTTTAAATTTAACACATAATAATAATAATAATAATAATAATAATAATAATAATAATAATAATAATAATAATAATAATAATTTTAGATTAAATAAATTAATATTTAAATAATTTTGTTAATTATTAATGGATATTGATATCCGTGCATACGAGTAGCGTCAAATTCATATTTGTATCCATAAGTAAACGATAACTAAATATTCATTTATTTTATCTGTGGATACGCATTAAGACATTCTACTAGTGTCTGTGATAGACTTTACCCGCGAATACCTACGAGTACGAGTTTTTTTACCATTCTTACTTGTGTGGTTGTGCCTACTCATGTGGTGCCGCCGTTTGTTTTTTTGGAGTCACACCACAGAATTTTCAAATTTGAGTTTTTTCTCCATCAATTATCTGAAAAAAATAAAATAGAATTTATATGACAAAATAAAATAAAATAAAGAAAAAATTAGTGATGCACTGACAAATCAATCACAACTATATATCTAATTATACCTCACTTTTATTTTTTATTTTTTTTAATGACATGACAAATTATTAACTTTTTATTAGTTGATTGTGTAAAGAAAATTTGCACCGACCATGTATAAAAATTATTTTCTAAAAAAAATATCGGTTTCATTGTTACGTAAAATGATAAACACACCTAAAGATCGCAATACACAACAACAAAGCTTAAAAAAAAATAAAAGACAAGAAATATTATAACGTGTTTAATCAGGTGATCAGCCGATTTACTATAAAGAGAAAATAATTCTCCGATTCACTATATTTTTAAAATTGTTACAAGAGATTACAAAATAGTTACAAGAAAATAATACTCAAAAATCTAAGAACAATCTCTATTTTCCATCCAATGTTTATTAATCTCTCTAACTCTCTATGAATGAATCATATAAGCCCAAGTTATTTAAAAGTATTTTCCAATCTCCCTAGATACTTCAAAAGGTTTCCCAAATTCCAAAAACACGATCATAGGAATTTTTACCTTTGTCTTTCTAAGTTTTTCCAATGATTTCCACATCCTCTTTTTGTCTTTGATACTACATTATGAATAAGATGATATATATCATGGTAATCAAAATCGGGTCGGACCGTCTGGTTCAACCGATTGAACCGGAAACCAAAATTCTAATTGGTCTGTTTAAACCTGAAAACCAACATGCAGAAGAGCTAGAATTTAAGCCGAAAAAGGTGTTCATTATCTTTATCTAACCTCTCAAGAATGTTAATCCTGGGGCGGATGAAGGAATCTCATCTTAGAAACACAAATATTTCCAACATGAGGAAACCATTGATATGAACACTCAACAAACTATTGACCTCAAGGGAACGCTCTCGAAGGAATCTACTACACCACTTTATCTTGGGTGTGTGGCACCGCCATCCCTCTAGAACAAGTATTTCTATGTCAGAAGTTTTATATAGCAGCATTTTTCCGTTCCTACCTACTCCCTCAATGATCATTTGATAGAGACTCACCTGGGAGATGGGTAGATGCTCAACTTGATAGAGACCTATATTTTAAGAAGTCTTATGTTGGAGCGAGTAATATTTGATTCTTACATCCAATCATACATATCTGTTTTAGATCTCAAAACTAAGTTAAATACCAAGAGAGAGACTTTCACTCAGACCCAAGCATCGCTGAAATCCGTCACTGAAGAACGTGATGAGGCACAATGTCAGAGAGTTGAAAGAAGCACAAAAACAAAGGATGATGGCTATAATAAATTTGGTGAGGAGCTTAACCAAGCAAAGTCTGAGCTCATTATATTGAAGAAGTCCACCCAGACAGAGGTCCTATAATGACTTATCGACAAATGTACCGATAATGTCAAAGTAATAAAAATATTTATCCATAAGGATTTCTATTTAACAAGACAAATATTATGCAAAGTAAATTAAATATAAATGAGTTTTTTCTTTTGGGGTTTAAGACGAAAAATAGTAAAAAAGTTGTTCTAACAATAATACGAAAGCGGTTGAGTTTTGTTATAGAATCCTCTAATTCGTTATTGTTGATGTTCGATGCGTTACATAATTAATATTGTTATTATTATTCCACGGTGGGTTAACAAAACCACTATGCCAAATCCTTTGATGTATAGCTAACTAATCTATACTCGAAGCTTCATATCCCTAGTCCACCAGCGTAAGGAAGATTAGACAATGAAATAGAACGTTAATCTCTAAGCCACTACTCGAGGTCTCCTATTACTATTCAATCGGCATAAGTACAACAATTTCCCTAGGTCCCGCGTATAGACTACTGGTCAATATTACCTATGCGTCCAAGATCAGATTAAAAGAGTATCTCACATAAAAAAACATTAAGAGTAAGGTGCAATTGAATAGAATAATAACTAAAATAAATTATGTAATATCAAATCAAACATATGTCCCAAAGTGTTGAAGAAAGTTCATCAAAACAAAACATAACCTATGAGGATTAAGCTACTCATAATTAAAATTACAATAGCAATAATTTATATGAGGTTTGCATACAATATCCCTTGAAGAACTGACCTTCAATAGCTCCTAAGGCGCTCTAACTATGCCTTCCAGTGTTGTAAACTCGTACTTTCAGTGCAAAATTGCAGAACCCTTGAAAAATTGCCAAAAACCCCTTTTTAAAGTTGTCAAAGGGTGTCAGAACGCGTTAGAAAATTTCTCAGAAAAAGGCCCAGTGTGTGCATGTTAACTTGCATCAAGTGCGCGATACAACATGTCTAGGATCATCATGTGTCCGACTGGGTGCGATGCTTGCGTGATGATTTCAGAAGCTGACATGCGCTTTGTTCTTTTTTAGCCATATTTTCCCCAAGTCTCTATTTCTTCATATTTTGTCCATTTTTCTCTGTTATTGGGTTGTTCTTCATCAAATTAAGTGATCTATGGCTTGATTTTCTCTGTTTATTTGATAGAACCTATGTAATGACAAAGTGTCATCACCCTCCACAAGAAAAAGATATAAGAAGGCATGGATAATGTCAAGGACAAGGTAGTTGACCTTGCGGACAATGACTTTGAGAAATCCATGGCACAAGTATCCCACCTTTATCTAGATTTAAACTTGAACAAGCTTGACTTGTTCAAAGTCTTTAAGGATGATCAGATGATGGAAGAGGACTACGAGCCTACAAAATATTGGCCACCTTCCATGAAGAGGAAAATATCTCAACTCCGGAGATCGCCCACAATAATAAGGAGGTGATCATTCGTGAAGAAGGAAAGTTTCCCTCGTCTAACTCTTGGGCTTTTTTATTTGTTGTTGTAATGAAGTCATTTGAAGTCTCTTATGTATTTCTTTTATGTGTTTGCTCCTTAAGGTTTTTTCTTGTGTCGCCCTATGAGGCTCTTTAAGTATATTAATTAATTAATTTTTATAGTAATGTTTTCCCCTTATCGTGTGAATGCTTATTTTTGTTAAGGAATTTGCTTCTTAAGGTGGCAGTTGTTTCTCCTTAAGAACCATGCTTTCCTCTTGGGGAGGCTATGATTCCTAATCAGGAATCAAGGAAAATTGGCTCTTAGGGGGGAAATTATTTCTCATTAGGAATCAAGTAAAATTCCTCTTAGTGCGGCTATGATTCGTCGTGAGGAATCAAGCAAAATTGCCTCTTATGGAGACAATGATTCATCCTCAAGAATCAAGAAAAATTGCCTCTTATGAAAAAAATTATTCTTCGTCGAGTTTTAGAAAAAATTTCCACTAAGGGTGTAAGTGATTCCTCATTAGAAATCAAGCCAAATCTCCTTTTATTATGGCAACGGTTCCTCATCTAGAATAAATAAAAATTTTCCTCTTATGACTATAATGATTCGCCATCAGGAATCAAGCATATTGTCTCTTAGGAAAACGATAATTCCTCTTAAGGGAGTCAAGCAAAATTTCCTCTTAGGGAGGAAATGATTCCTTATCAGGAATTAGGAAAAATTGCCTCTTAAGGCGTAAATGATTCCTCATTAAGAATCAAGCAAAATTTCCTCTTAAGGCGTAAATGATTCCTCATTAAGAATCAAGCAAAATTTCCTCTTATGGCGACAATGATTCCTCATCATGAATCAACCAAAATATCCATTGAGGGTGGCAATGATTCATCATCATGAATCAAGAAAAATTATGCAATATAGGAACGAGACGTACGTCCGACTCTTCAAGTTTATGTGCACCATATGGAAACTTCTCATGCTCTCTATAGGGGCCTTCCCAAATGGGAAAGAGCTTTCACATATGGATAGAAATGAATACTTGTTTGAGCACAAGGTCACCCTACTTCATTGATGAGTGGTGTCCCACATTTATGTAGCAACGTTCATAGTGAACCACAAAAAAACTCATTCATACCTAAAGTCATCCAACATCATGAGGCGATTAGTCTTTAAATATGAGTTAGGCTTTGGGACCACTTGTTACCCAAATGACTTTAAACACATAATGAGGAAATAAATGGAGATAAATAGGGTGAGA